TCTTGCCCTTTTTTCTATTGTGCTGTCTTTAGAAAAAAAAAAACCTATCTATAGGATGTGTGTGCATGTGTATTTATATATTCTGGATATGAGTCCTTTGCTGAATATATGTATTCTGAGTATTTTTTTCTACTCTGAAGAAAGCTGGCTTTCACAATCTTAACACTGTCTTTTGATGAACCAATTTAAAAATGTTAATGTGGTCTAATTTGTCAAATTTTTATTTTTGTTACCGCCTGTTGTGTTCAGTTTAAGAAGTCCTTGCTTGCTCCAAGGTCAGAAAGAAATTCTAGAATAGGGCTTGGAAAACAACAACCTGCATGCCAAACGCACCCGCCATCTGTTTTTGTAAATAAAGTTTTATTGGAGCACAGACAGGCTCACTCATAATCGTCCATGGCTGCATTCCACAGCCATGGCACAGCGCTGAGTAGTTGCAACAGGGACTGTGTGGGCTGCAAAGCCTAGAATATTTACTATCTGGCCCTTTAAGGAAAGTCTGCCAATGCGTATTCTAGAAGATTGTTTTTAACCTTTACACTGAGATGTGATCCATCTAGAATTGATTTCTGTGTGTGTCGTGATAAGACTCATTTTTTCCATAAGGCTATCCAATTGACCTTGCAGATCTTATTGGGAAAATAATCCGTTTCCCACTGCACTGCAGTGTCATCTTTGTCACAAATCAGGGGCCCTGTGTATGGGTCTGTTTCTGGGCTCTGTTCTGTTCCATCGATTTATGGGCTGCCTGGCTCTCACCAGCACTGCACTGTCTTTAAATGCTATGGTTTTATAACAGGTCTTATATTCTGTAATGAAAATCCACCAGAAAATCTTAGCTATTCTTGGTCCCTTGCATTTCCATATGCATATTAGAAAGTTTGATATTGATTTTGATTGTTAGGGAAGCAGAAAAAAAGGTTTCCCTTTAAAAAAAAAATACATCACTTTCAGGCATGAAAAGAGGGCTTCAAACAGAATATGAATTTGAAATTTAGAAATATTGAGACTAGTAAACAGTTTCTATACATAATTACTTATGTTTATTGATATATTCAATGTTGTGTTTTATAAAGTGCAACACTGGTAAACTAAGGTCTAGCTTATCTATGACATTGAAATAAAAGATATCCTTGGCAATTTAGTTCCATTTCAAAATTTTCTGTTTGATACCGAAAAAGTAACCATCATAATTCAAGTGTGGCGAGTGTGCAGAAGTTATATTTTCAATAAAAACAACTTTTTGGGTAGCTTCAGAGTTGTTAGGAAAAGGCTACCCAACAAGCAACAATTAATATGTTGAGAATTTTCACTTCCACGAAGCCCATTTACTTTACTAGGATGAAAAAGGAGTTTCACTATTTAGTTAATAAAGCCACTTAACAATTTACAATGAAACACCCACAAGTGTTATAAACTGGTGTTCACTTTCTAACATTTGAAAATTATTATCCTTTTCAACAATGGGCCTTAAGACTTTTCTCTCTGTGCTCTGTAGAAAGGTGACCTATTGCAATGGCCGATTATAATTCAGGCCTATATTGTAACTTTGTGTGTGATCTTTTACAATGATGTATTTTCTGCAGTGAATATTCTAAAATGTATACAGTATTTTTTAGCAATATGTGTTTATTAGAGCTAAGCTATCTCAAGATACACAATTCACTAATTTAGGACCAAATTTCACAGTGCAAAATCTCTCACCAACTCAGAAGAATAAGGATGCTGAATTGCTGGAGAGTTTGTGTCATAAGATATTTAAAATAAGTTCTTATTTTAAGATAAAAATTCTTAACCTTTTTGGAGTTATGAATCATTGTAGAATTTGTTGAAAACAGCAGACTACATATCTTTCTGCACACAGTAGTCCAGGGATTCCCACAGTCCTTGTCAGTGCCCACAGACCTCACCTTCTACCCCATGTCCCTCCCTCCCCAGCTTCTCAGATCACAGGAACTATTCAATCTGTTCTCAAAATCCCAGACGTCCTGCTTTAACGAAGTCTGAGTAAAAAATTCCTACTTATAAAGCGCACTACCATCAGCAGCCATTTACAAACTACTGAAAACTACTTTGGTTTCCTAATGGGTTAGACATGCCATGCTTCCAGCCCTTTATTCAAAAAAGTAAGTTTAATTCAAGTGAAAGTATATTACTCACTATTCTCTTGAGTTAGAATAAATGAACACGGGCTGTCCTGTCTGAGCCCTGAATCCTGCGCGCCTTCTGAGATCTGCTCTTGTTGTCCCCCGGCGCCCCAGTCCCCTCCTTCCTGGCCCCAGGTCACCCGCCCAACTCCGTGCACTCAGCCCGCTCTCCTTGCCACGAGCTGCTCTCCATGCATTGATTCCCTGCCTCTCTTTGATAATAACCCCCTCCCATCTCCCACTTCTAGCCTGAGGGTCCCCTGAAGGCTCAGAGGATTTCCTATTTACTTGCACATCTGAGTGCTGAGACAGTGTTCCGCACATGGTAAACAATCAAAGTTTGTGGACGAATAAATGAGTGAAGGAATCTTTTCTGTAGCCATCCGTTAATTTAAAGAATATTTTCAGAGTGGGAGAACACCCCGTGAGATCTGCTCTCCTACGTCACAATGCAGTGCTGGTGAGCACAGGCACAGAGGTCCTTTAGGGCCAGGATTACTATCTATGATTGCACGCACACAGGAGTCCCAGCACCTGATTTCAGTTCTTCAGTCTACCCTGTGACTCTCACAAGGAAGTATTAAATGAGCTCCGGAGCAGAGCAGGGACTGTGCCATTGAAGGCCGCCTGCAGCAGAGTACCCCGCAGCGTAAGGAGCGAATCGGACCCACACGGATGAAGAATGGTTCCTTCCTACTTGCAATAACTGTTGATTCCATACTGAATGTTCTTGATTTAAAAATAACGCAGGTCATCTTACAATTTTTAAAAACAAAGGTGATTATTCTGCAGACTATATTTAGTGTTATTGTATTTTGTTCCTTTCAAAGATTATAACCTTTTGTTTTACTCTATTTCATTCCTTTCAAACTCCTGGAATGAATGTGTTTGTCATTCTTCTCCCGCAGACACAGGGCATCGCTGAGGTCCTCATCTCTCACAATGACTAGTGATGTCTAATGTCGCTGGTACAAAAGCAGAAGAGGGGGAAGGAGTCTCCTGGCATCTTCTGAGGCGACACCTGCCAGTCACCTTGAGAACTAGAATTACTTACCCCCCTGCCTCCTTCCTCCCTTCCCATTGCTTCCATTTCTGGACTACTGATAATAGAAATATTTCACCTGATATAACTACCAACATTTTCTAGAATGTATTTCCCATGAAAAGCAATTTCAGCCAAATGAGCTGTTAAAATCCATTTTTAACCATATCCCCCATTTAACCTTTCTTAACCTGCTGCTCAAGATGGTACTGAGAGGGCTTCGTGCTGTTGCCCCTGTTTGCAGATTTACAAGATTCTGTTTCGTTTATTAAATGTGGTTTTAAAACTTGTATCTCCTCTGGGCAAGCCTTCTCCAGGAGGGTGTGACAGAGGTGTCACCTGTCAGCACAGCACCTAAAAATAGTTCTTCAATGGTCTGCCTGACTGCTCACTTCAATCGAACTAACAGCTGTCGTTGGCGTCTCAGAAGTCTGCTAAGCTTTTTACTCTCTTTCTCCATCTTGAAACAAACCAGCAGGAAAGCCCATCATTTTAACTTCTTATCCTCTATACAAACTGTTTTCAGACAAAGCTATGTTACAAGAAGTTTCTGAAGGCATAGAATTGCATTTGGTGGTTTTTTCCTTCCCTATTTCAGTAGCAGGCAGTTTGAATGAGCAGAACCTGAGTTCAGGATACAGTCTGTGCATCTCTACAAGACCCTCTCAGTGGGCAGCCAGGGTACTTGCCTCCGGGTGCACATGGAACTCCTCCTGAGATGCAAAGAAATCAATGCTGAGCTCCTCCTCCAGGGACTCTGACCTGACCCACCTGAGGCAAGCCCTACCCTGACATTCTTTCAAAAACCAGAGGATCCTAAGGATGAAAAGCACAGAGAGCTTCCTACACCTTGTGATAGATCTGTGGTTTTGTATTTGATGATGCTTAGATTTATGTGATGCTTTGTAATTCTGTTAAACAACCCAAACTCAATTGTAACCTTAAATCCGTATTTGTATTATGTACTTAACATTAAACATTATATCATTGATTTTATTCCTATCTTACTTTCAAAAATCCAAAATCACTTTAAAAAGATGACCAAATTGAGGCGACTTGCATTTGTTCTCTACCCATGTGCTGGCAAGCCGTAGTATTTACTTTCAAATTATTTTACTCTGTTCTGCTCTTGTGCTGGTAGCACAAGCCTGAGGACCACTGCCTGAGCACTGCCTGAGGAGAAGTAGAAAAAGTGAAGTAGTGGGGAAGAGGAGTTTTTGGGGAGTTCCTGGCAATTTGGGGAGTGACTCTTCCACACAATCAAACAGGTCTCTCTCCTCCACGGCGAGAATTGTTGGCTTAAACCCAAACAGAGCTCCACTGTGAAGCTGACAGTGGAATATTTATTCACGTAAACCATGCGGATGGTCCCAGGTTGGGACATGATGGAAGGGAACCCCAAATCAGGTTTACAACTGAAAGAAATTTCACACACACACACGCCGATGCAAAGTTTTTAAAAACAAGGCAGCTACAAAGAAGCCCCAAGACCTCATGAACCAGACTGTGATGGGATAACTGCGGTCTCTCATTTGTACCCACTCTATCTGACTTCCTCCAATTGTGACGGATAAGGGTCCCAGCTCCTCCTCAAGGTTCATCTCTTTTTCCACGTAGGGCATGGATTCCATCTTCCCTCAGAGACTTTGCTCTGGTAATTATCCTCTATCTCCCTCTTTTACATCAATTTCTCCTTCTGTACGAGAACAATCACATCAGAGGACAAAGCTGCTCTAAAACAAAAGAAAAAAACCAAAAACAACAAAAATCACCCTACCTTAACCCGGCTCTCATCCCATCTTTCCACTCACCTCCTAAGCAAACTTTCCTGAAGAAGCCATCAGTGGTTGTCTTCCTTGCTCACCTCCTTCTCCGATCCATTCCAGCTGGCTTCCCCCTCAACTCCACCACGAGCATCGTTCAGCAATTGCTGCCATGTTGCCAGACTAAATGGTCAATTCTCTGGTCTCTCTGTATTTACCCCCTAGGCAGCGTTCAACCCAGTTAACCATCCCTCTTTCTAGAAACCCACTCTTCTCAGCTCCCATGACATATATTTCACTAGTTCCCTCCAAGCCTGCTGCCCAGTGCTGAGCTGTTCTGCCTCTTCTCCTTTTCTTCATTTATTTTTTGTAACAGTTTTACTGAGATGTAATTCACAGACCACACAGTCACTCCCTTCGCATGTGTGCTTCAACCGTTGTTAGTATATTCAGGGTTGCGTGAGAATCACTACAATCGTTTTAGCACCTGTCATCACCTCAGAAAGAAACTCTCTACCTTCAGCAGTCATTCCCCCTTCCCTAGTGCCTCCCTCCAGCAGCCCTAGGCAATCCCTAATCTACATTCATGAATGGGTGTTGGATTTTGTCAAATGCTTTTTCTGCATCTATTGATATGATCATGTGAGCTTTCTTCTTTAGCCTGTTGACATGATGGATTACATTAATTGATTTTCGAAAGTTGAAATGGTCTTGGCTGCCTGGGATAAATCCCACTTGACTGTGGTATATAATTCTTTCTACACATTGTAAGACTTGAGTTGCTAATACTTTGTTGAGGAAATTTGCATCTATGTTCAAGAGAGATATTGCTCTGCAGTTCTCTTTTCTTCTAATGTCTTTGTCTGGTTTTGGTATTAGGGTAACGCTGGCCTCATAAAATCAGTTAGAAAGTCTTCCTTCTGCGTCTATCATCTGAAAAAGATTACAGACAATTGGCATAATTTCTTCCTGAAATGCCTGGAATTTACCAGTGAACCTGCTTTCTATTTTGGAAGATTATGAATTATTAATTCAATTTCTGTAATAGACATGGGCCTATTTAGATTGTCTATTTCTTCTTGTATGAGTTTTGGCAGATTGTGTCTTTCAAGAAATTGGTCCATTTCTCCTACTTTATCAAATTCGTGGGAACAGAGTTGTTCACAGTATTCCTTTATTATCTTGTAATGTCTATGGGATCTGTAGTGATGTCTCTCTTTCATTTCTGATATTAGTAATTGTCTCCTCCCACTTTTAGTCTGGCTAGAGGCTTATCGTTTTATTGTTTTAAACAATCAACTTTTGGTTTCATTGATTTTCTCTATTGAGTTACTATTTTCAATTTCATTGATTTCTGCTCTAATTCTTATTATTTCTTTTCTTCTCTATTCTACATTCTGTCTTTATAGATTTGCCTATTCTGAATATTTTATATAAATGGATCACACTATTTCAAGGTTTAACCATGTTGTCACATGTATGAGTACTTCATTCCTTTTTACTGATGAATTATACCACATTATATTCATCCATTCATTAGCTGATAGACATTTGGGTTGTTTCCACTTTGGGGCTATTATGAATAATACTGCTATGAACATTCATATTCAAGCTTTTTTGTGGACATATATTTTCATTTCTCTTGGGTATATATCTAGAAGTGGAATTGCTGGATTATATGGTAACCCTATGTTTAACCCTTTGAGGAGCTGCCAGACTGTTTTCCAAAGTCACTGAACCAATTTATATTCCAACTAGCAGTTTATGGTACTTCCATTTTCTCCACATCCTCCCCAATACTAATTATCTGCCTTTTTTTATTACAGTCATCCTAGTTGAAGTGAAGTGGTATTGCATTGCTGTTTGGTTTGCATTTTCCTAATGGCTAATGGTATCAAATATCTTTTCATGTACTTATTGTCCATTTTTATATCTTCTGTGGAGAAACATCTATTCAAATGCTTTATCCATTTTTAAAATTGGGTTATTTGTCCATTTATTGTTGAGTTGTAAGAGTTCTTTATATGTTCTGGGTACTAGATCCTTATCAGATATATGACTTCAAATATTTTCTCTCATTTCATGGGTTGTCTTTTTACTTTTTCAATGGTGTCTTTGAAGCTCAAAAGTTTTTAATTTTTTTTTTTAAAGATTGACACCTGAGCTAACAACCGTTGCCAATCTTCTTTTTTTTTCTCTGCTTTATCTCCCCAACCACCCCCCCCCCCCCCCGTACATAGTTGGATATCTTAGTTGCAGGTCCTTCTAGTTGCGGGATGTGGAACGCCACGTCAACGTTGCCTGACGAGTGGTGCCATGTCCGTGCCCGGGATCCGAACCCTGGGCCGCTGCAGCAGAGCAGACGAACTTAACCACTCGGCCACGGAGCCGGCCCCAAAAGTATTTAATTTCAATAAAGTCCAACTTATCTACTTTTTTCTTTTGGTCATGCTTTTGGTGTCATAGCTAAGAATACTTTGCCAAATCCAAGGTCATGATAATTTACCTCCAAGTTTCCTTCTAAGAACTTTATAGTTTTAGCTCTTACATGTAGGTCTTTATCCACTTTGAGCTGTTTTTTGTATATGGTGTGAGGTAAGGATTCAACTTCACTCTTTTGCATGTGGCTATCGAGTTGTCCTAGCACCACTGGCTCATGACACTCTTTCCTGGTTTAAATACCTATTGCATATTAACAAGTTCCTTTGCATGTCTACTGGCATGTCAAATTTAATATGCCAGAAGAGAACTCTTGACTCATGCCCTATAAACTGATTGCTGCTCCTTCTCCAGTCTTCCCCAGCTCCGTGGATGATATTCAGTTACTCAAACTGTTACCAATTTCACCTCCCTCCAGTGGGACTTGGACCCACATTTGGTGGAGCTCAGAGAAGGGGCCCATGGGTGGGCCTCATACCCACAATCCCTTCCTTCCTTGGAGGGTTGTTTTCTGCTCAGTGTTGCAGATTTGAAACAAAACCAAAGCTGAGCATTCAATTGCACAAGCCTTTATTCAATTGCTGAGCATTGGAGAAGTGGGAACTATGTTCACAAATCAACTTCTCAGCTTCTGGGGTGATTAGGCAGCTGTTATAAGGGGTCTAGGGAAGGAAGGAGAGGAATATTCATAATTATATGGGGAAATGGGCAGGCTTTTCTGGGGAGCAACGGTACCACTCCTTTTCTTTCCTTACTTAGTCATATCCTGCCATTACCAAGGCAATTGCAAACTGTCATGGCGCCAGGGAGTGTGTAAAGTAGCATCGTAATGTGTTACATTGAGCGTGTAATGAGCTATGGGGTCTGTCAGGAAAAGTCAGACTGCCATGTTGCCTTCAGCTGGTTTTAGCTGGTTTCGACTCTATGTCTCAGCCATCTCCTTCCTCTCTTTGTGGTTTCCTGTGAGCTAGAGAGAATGTGTTAGGCTTGTTCTGAACAGGGTTGTGGTTAATGTCTTATGGGGCCAGGGGCCCTGTTAGCAAAACCAGTAATTTATCCTTGTTTTCTTTCCCTGATCCATCAGGAGGTTCTCTTATCTCTGTCTTCAAAACACACATTAAATTCATTCTCTTCATCTTCTCTTCTCATTTCTATCTATCTTCACTTTTTAGGTAATTTCACCTGGTCCCATGGTTTAAATACTACCGATATGCTATCTGCTGTGATAACACAAATTTGTCTCTGGTTTCATCTCCTACTCTGAACTTTAGTCTTATATACACAACTGTCTGCCAGACACTCCCACTTGGATATTCAATAGGCATCTCAAACTTGACATGTCCAACAGCAAACACATGGTCCCCAACCCTCCCCCACCACTCCCTACATTCCCTATTTTCCCACTCCAATCTCCAGCAGATGGTACCACCATTCCCCTAACTGTTCAGGACAAAAGCCTTGGCATATTCTTTGCTCCTTACTCTCACACCCAATATCCAAAGGTTTAGCAAATCCTGCAGGCTCCACCTTCAAATTATACACAGAATTTGACCATTTCTTACCACTTACCCTGCTACCAAGCTAGGTCAAGTGACCAGCATCTCTTGCCTGGTCTATTCCAACAATCTCCAAAAGGTCTTCTGCTTCCGTTTTTGTTCCTTTTTTTTCACACAGCAGCCAGAGTGAGTCTCGTAAAATACAGAATCTCTCTCCAACCCTTTAAATGGCTTTTCATAAATTTCAGAACAAAATCCAAAGTCCTCATCATGGTCTGTGTGACCTGAATGACCTTGCCCAAGCTAGCCTCTAGACTTCAACTCCTGCCACCTGCCTCCTACCCAAATGGGCTCGAGCCATGCTGCTGTTCTTGCAACTCGCCAAGCACATTCCCAGTCCAGGTCCTCTTGCTATCCCTCTGCCTGAGTCCTCCTTTCTCCAGCAACTGCAATGCTTGCTCCCTCGCAGAATAGAGGTCTTCCCTGACCAGCCTGACTGAAATAGTCCCACTCCTCATCATTCCCCTCAATTGTCTATATTCTTTAACTATAAACTACAATGAGGTCAGGGCTTTTGCTTTTGAGCTTTGCTGCAAACCCAATGCTTAGAACAGGATTCAGCACACAGTAGGCCATCAATAAATATTGTTAAATGAGTGAATGAATAAATGAATGTCTTTATTACTACCATCCCAGCTTAAGCCACTTTGGCCTTTGCCTAGCAATCCAACAATCTCCTAATGGGTCTTCCAACTTCCACTTTTGCCTCTTACAGTCTCATCTCCGCAGAGCAGACAGCACTGCTTTATACGTGCTACTCAGATCAAGTCATTCTCCTGTGTGAAATTTCCCACTGGCAACTCATCCTATAATCCAATTGAAAGACAACACAATTCATACAAAACAACCATAGGACACAGTCCAAACTCCTTCTGTGTGGCACAGGAAGGAGACATGAGCTGTCTCCTGCCATCTCTCAGTGTCCTAGTCCACACTGCCAGGACCCGTACATTCCAGCCATACCGCCCCTCAAACACCTTTAGCTCCCTCCCATCTTAGGGCTCTTTTGTACTAACTGGTCCTTCTTAAGGAACAGTCATACCCCAGTCTTCCCGGGTTTTGGTCATTGAGATAGTTTAAATATCACTCATCAGAAGGGACTTTCCTTACGTCTAGTGTAGAGTTGACACCAGCCACTCTGACTCATCACTCTGTTTTAATTCTCTTATCTGTTTAGCCCTTATCTTGATCTGATGTTCTTCTTAATTATTGATGATTGACTGTCTGCCCCCACCACCCAACTAGAACCCCAGGAGGTAGGGATTGGCCCTGCCCTGTTCAACACAGCATCCCATCACCTAGTACAGCCGCTGGCACATACTAGATGCTTAATATTAACTTCTTGCATCAATAAGTTGATATTTTTTTCATCTTATTTGATACCAAACACCAATTTCTAGCTAGAGGAATATATTCTGGTAAAGTCTCATACAGTTTTTTGTTTGTTGTTTTCGTCATTCCAAACAAGTGCAACTTTTAATTGGAACAAATTTTCCAATTAAACTAGCAGGTGTTTCCTCATGATTAGAAGTTGCACATTCATGTTTGCTTAGTATTCTGAATATGACCTTGGCAAATACAGCCTTTCTAGTGACTTGGCTTACTTATATTTTTTTTCCTTCTAGGTAGCTATTACCAAAATAATGATCATAGGCCTTATGGTTGTACAGTAACTTAGAATTTACAGAGTCATTTTACAAAAGCAAGGTCTTGGTCGGCCTTGAAGCCCTGTATTCATTAGTGTTGTGTGTGGAGACGGAGACTAATGTGCAAAGAGATAAAGGATTTCCCCAAGGATACAAGACAAGGAAATGGTGGAACCAGAACTCAGTTCAGGCTTCTTTTTTCTCCCCAAATGTCTTGTTCTTTCCCCAACGGTACATGATTACAAGTCAGAGGATAATTGGAAACACAGAATGTTAAAAACATTTCTCCGTGCATCTTCCTTCCCTTCAGGCTTTCTCTCTCTTTACTGCCAAACCTTAACAGGATACTACAGAGAAAGCTCTGGTTGGAGTCCTCCTCTTGTGATGGTAACTTCAATACAAGTCTCTGACCTGAAATGGACACCTTTCCTCTCATCACGTGATTTGTTCTGGTACTAAAGTACTAGAATGGCAAGAATTTATATTTCAAGCATTCAGATATGAAGGATCTTGACACAAGACAATAAAGGGTACCAAGTATGACTTGTTTTCATGCAGTTTAAAAAGGAAGGATTTATTGAGAAACAC